TCGTTTTTAAGCACAGGGGGGCTATCCCGATACATGCTGTTTTTAGAAAATCGAAGGGAAAGTTTTTGCCCCTTGTTTCTATCTTTTTAGAAGACAAGGGGAGTTTTCTCTATAACAAAACAAACACACACACCCATGAAACCAAGCTTCTCAAATAGGTAGGGCAATGTCCATTTTTGGTATAGGTCAAGATTTCTGGAAACCCCCGAAATCTGGGATAGCCCGCTTTTTCTTAAAAGTGACCAAATTGGGATGGTATGAGCACATAACAAGATTAACAAGACTTGCAAAGATAATGCTACGGGGCACAGTGAAAGGAGGGAGAAGGATAGGCAGACAGAAAAAGAGATGGGAAGATGGGAAGACTTCATAGCGGGTTGGACAAGCTTAACTTTGGGTAGTGAAGCCCTTCGAAAGACTTAAGATAGAAAAGTATGGCGAAGAGTGGTTGCCAGATCATCCTTGGTGGCTCAGTGGTCACCAACACTATGGGATAAGTAAGTAAGTAACTCACTAACGTCTTTTAAGAGCCGAGGAATAGAGGTTATTACAAGAGAGTAACAAACACAAAAAAAGCAGGAGGAGAGAGAACGACAATAGATGTTTGATAGGAAAGGAGGAGCAAACCACATCATCTATTTATTTATTCATTTACTTATTTATTTATTCATTCGTCCATTGCTATTTTGCCCGACAGGAAGATTAAATTTCACCCAAAAACACACGAATGCACCCGCCAACCACACACTCATCTTATATTAAGTTTACTGCATTGAAAAAGACGATAAACATATACCGTGTAAACTTGCACGAAACTATCGAGACTTGCACGAAACTATCGCAGGAAAAGAAACTTAAATGTTGAGCCATGAGATTTCCTATCTCAGGCGTGGGTGTGCCAGAAATATGTCAGAATCTGATCTAATTACTCCTGGTCTGAACTTCACCTACATTTCAGTGGGTTAAACGCCATTTTCCGACCGTGGTATAAAACTAAAACGCCAGCCCTAACTATGTCAATCTTGTAGGCCACCAACTGGCCAGTCAAAGCGGCGCGTCTCGCTCGGCTCAGGTCAGATAAACCCGCCAACTGTTTGCTCAAAAGAAACTTCCAGAACATGAATCTAAAGTAAAGAGAGTATATAGGCCCCACAGCACGTAACAGTTGCCAAGGAGAATTTATCAATTATTATTTCCCTTTAAACACACGTCTTATCAGTACTACCACAGTCTGATAAGAACTTATTTAGAGTCTAGTGCGATAGGAATGAATAGTCATTAAAGTTTCACAAAGCTCAAAGAAAACAAACAAGTTCATGAGCCATCGTTCTATCGAAGATCAAGGCAATAAATTCGCCAAACTAGAGACAGAAAAATTAGACAAAATCCAGCGTCACCATAGATTATCGCTGGGAAGTTTGAAAAAGAACTAGATTCTAGTTCGAATTTTACCTTCTTCCGGAGCTGTGGACAGATATTCTAACCTTTAAAGAGAAGAAAAGAAGACACCCCCTCAAACTTTTCCTTTCTTTGCGAGCGTAAAGGACTCAGTGACCAGCATACGACACTCACACAATTATTTCTTTCTTAAAACGAGCCATCTTTGTTTTCGTGGAACCGAGTGAAACAGAGCCTCATTATGAAGAAGGCGTGTGACGTGATATTCTGTGCTATGGTGTTCCTCGTGATGGTAGAAAGGACAGATGCAGTGTCTGTGGACGAGGGGAACCCTCTGTCGACTATTTTGGGCCTCTCTGACGTCACTAAGGACTTGTTTGCTAAACAGAAATCGGGGGAGACGTTTGATGTATTGGTAAGTATCGATACGTCGTAGTATTGAAAGTGGGGACTTCTGAAGAATGTGTAAGGTGATCTATCTATCTATCTATCTATCTATCTATCTATCTATCTATCTAGTTGTTACCTGACTATCAATAATAATATACTTACGCTAGTATATTTGTGTGCGTGCGTGTA